TTTTCATCAGAGAAATTAATTTTATAAACTTTGCCTTTTCTCCTACCTTTGAACACCATGGAATTGTCATATTCATTCATGACTATACAATTATTCTTATTAAACAATACATCATAACCACTGTCACAAAATTGACTAATGTTCAGTATGTTATGTTTTAGTACATCTAATAACCAAGCATTATTAATAGAAATAGAGGAATTACCAATAATACAGGTATCAATGATCTTTCCTTTAAGGTTTCCTCCAAACCCCATATTTCCTCCCTCTTTCAGAGTTAAGGTTTGGAACATATGCTTTTCTCCTGTCATATATCGTGAGCAACCACTGTTCAGGTACCATGACTCCTGCTTTGCTTCTTCCTTGAAGTATATCGGTTGCAAAAATAATTCTATATTTAGGTACCCATAATCTTATGGGTCCTTTAGGGTTATTTCTGAAAGACTTCTCATGCATTTGTACCTTAGCTTTTGTGAAATAAGGCTTGGAATCATTCAAGACTCTTGGTTTAAAAGTTTTTGGTCTGGAATTGATCTTAGTCTTAGGTTGTGAACCTTTCAGAACCTTAGACTCTATTTTCTTAAGCTCTGGTTTGTTCAGAACCTTTAGCTTTTGAGTCCTTGGTTCTGGTTTGTTCAAAACCTTTGACTTTTGAGTCCTTGGTTTTGGTTTCTTCAGAACCTTTGAAGTATTAGGTTCTGAGTTGTTCAGAACCTTGGACTCTTTAGCTTTTAGTTCATATTGGTTCAAAACCTTTTCCTTATTAGCAGTTGGAACAAAATGTGAATATATCCCTTTCTCGGTAGAGCTAGAGTAAGAAGGTTCCATTGACTTGTTCAAGGTTCTCATCATTAGATTATCAAGTTTTTATGAATAACCAATTCCTTCTCCTCTGCTAGTGATAACACCATAAATCACGGAAGCAAGTTTTGTCCTATTAAAGACACTTATGATAAACTCCTGAAGAGTAAGCTTACACTCATATGGGGGTTTATCAGACACTGAAACAATTTGACTTCTTTATAAATCATCATATTGAATTTTAAGGGATTGTAATTTATTTGTTTTTAATTCAAAATGCTTTCTCAACATTTTCGTGTGCCTGGATTTCTCTTGGCAACATTTCATACGGTCTTGAATTAATGTAATTAAACCAGAACGAGAAAGTTTAGAAAATACTTTATCTTCTTCTTCTTCTTCTTCTTCTTCTTCAAAATATGAACCAAAATCTGAGTCAGGAGATTTTAGAGCAATTGAAGCCGGATTGGCTTATTCTTCATCAAAATCCTCTTTATTGTCAAGTTCATCTCATGTTTCCATGAGACTCTTCTTGACTTTATTTCTGGAACTGTACTTTTGGAAGCTTCCTTTATCTAACTTTTCCTTTTGTAGCTCTAAACAGTCAACAATAAAGTGACCAGGCTTCTTGTAGTTGAAGCATCCCTTCAGGTCATCTTTCTTTTCTCTTGAACTAGATCCTCTAAAGCCATTGCTTCTTCTTGAGGGTGTTTTGTTCTTCTTTCCCAAATACTAAAATTTCCTGATCAAGAATTCCATTTCTTCTTCATCATCATCCGAGAATTCTTCAGAACCTCTTATAAAAGGAGCTTTTTCATATTCCCAGACTTGAGTAGATTTGGCAGGTTAACCAACAGATCTTGAATCAAGAGACTTGAGTTTCTTAGTAGGTTCATATTATATAAGTTCCATTTCATGAATCTGGAGATTACTTATCAGGCTTTCAAGACTTATTATGTTCAAGTATTTAGCTTCTTGGATGTGAGTGTACATTTTTCTTTTCCACCGTTCAAACTCTATTGAATCTCCACTGAAGGCTGGAGGTATAGAAGTATAGTTATTCTTTTCAGAAACATTATAATCATGGTTCACATTATGACTACCAAATGGATCACTTTCAACACCATACGTGTTTTTCTCTCAGGATCTTTTTTGTACCATTATTAAGTGTTAGAGCATAAACCATGCACTCTGATGCCAAGTGAATGTGAGAAAAACATAAGAATTAGGGGTTGAATTGTGTTGACTATTTATTTCTTTTTCAAAACTCTCTTATCAGATTATGAACATAAAGTCTAGAATCTGATTCAGAGTAAGTTATTTGTAGCGGATAAAACAATATCAAAGTAGAGAAAGAAAGAGAGACACAAGCAGTTTTCCTAGTTACTCCCACAAATTAGGAGTAATCTAGTTCCCTTGTACTTCCAAGGGATTTCACTATAATCACTTATGATTACAAATTGCTCAAGAACACAAGCAAGAGACTTCCAATGCTCAAACACACAAGTAAGATACTTTTAATGCTCAAGTACAATAGTAAAAGATTTCAGATGCTTAAACATATAAGCAAGAGACTTCAAATTCTCAAGCCCATAAGCAAGAGACTTCTGACAATCTAACTTACACATGAGAGATTGTTCAAGTATTACACTTGATATATAATCAGAAAACAAAATACAACACATGAAGATTCTTAAGACTTAAGAATTTATAGAATATACAAGTGTTAAGAAGTTCTAAGTTAAACTTGTGCTTTTGGTTTGATAGAGTAACATCTCTTTGTTTGTCAATAGTTCATACTTGTTTCTTCAAGACTTCAACTCCTTAAATAGAGAGACAAAAAAGAGTCGTTGAAGAGGACTTCATATACAAGAGAGTCTTTGATAAAAGACGCTGAAATGTTGCTTGATATGGTTAATCCTTTGCAAAAGTCATTTTAATTTCCTTTGCTCTAAAAGGAATTATTCATTCCATCTTTGTTGTCTTTGAACTTGAATCTTCATGTGATCATAAAAAGACAAATTGCTGAGTCTGATAGTGACCTATCAGAGTTTCTTGATCCTAGCATTTTAACTGACATCAAAGTCTGATTATTCTAAGTCAGGATCTTTAAAGGTTAAATTTCTTCAGAGTCCGATCTTTAGAAGTTGACCTCTTCAAAGTGTTCTTGGCCAACTTTAGAGTCCGAGTCTTCAGAGATTGACTTTCTTCAGAGTCTGATCTTCAGAAGTTGGCCTCTTCTGAGTATGGATCTTCAAAGTCTGATGCTTAGATTCTGATCCTTCAAATTTTGGTCCTTTCATCTTCTCTTTAATATTCAATTTCAGAGTTAGAACTTAGTTTTTATCACAAATTTTAGTCTATTATCCTGCATACTTTAACAAACATTAGTATACTCAGTTGTTCTTTAAATAAATTGTTATCATCAAAACCTTATGGATATGGTACAAACTAATTTTGTTCCAACAAGAACAACTACTCACAGTTTAAAAAAATCTTTAAAAAAGAGCGCATGAAACAATAAATTTCGTCTAAAAAATAGAGCAATCCAACATATAGGCCAAGTGCTGACAAGAAAGATCGTGTGAACTTGATCAAACGTCACAACAAGGAAGCTCAAAATGAAGAACATGACAAAGGAAAATAGAAAGAGGTCTCTTGCAGGTCGCTAAAGGCAGGAAATGGCGAGATGGTGCTTCAGAAGCCTTTTATGCCATATTCATCCATCGAGGGTCGCACAATCCATTATGCACTAAGAACAATTCTAATCTCCTTGAAAAATGTTCGAAGTACTTGAGTTCTTTAAAGGTGAGGAAACATCATTACTAACTAGAGTAGGGACGCATGTCAGTCATTTCAAGTGAAATGTTACATATTATAAAAAATACATTTAATGAGCTTGTTCTCAAGAGTGATGACATCCTATCAAAGATCTTCACATCCCCATATCCAATGGTCAAGCGAAGGTAAATGTCACAACCCCCATCCTATAAAGCAGAAACAAGGGCTTGGGTGGGGAACTATTTCGGGCCACCCACAAGACCTAAAATGTAAAGACCTAATAACGAAATGAGACGAAAACACTAAAATACATAACACATTGTCTCTTTTCTCTCCCTTAAGAGGCAATTCCACAAGCAAGGAATTTAACAACCATACATATCAGTCTGACAGTTGATCGTGATTCACACTATTTGTTATTTACAATTCCTCCTATTTATAATGGAAAATATATCATTTCTCATAGATTCAAATTTATTCTCATTCACATATCACTTTTTACTCTTATACTAACTTAAGCGTTAGATTGTTAATTTTGTGGATCAACCATTTCTCCACCGCATAGAAGTTGCAACAAACTCTACGTCCTTATTTTCTATCAACTCTGATCACACTATGGGAATAAGTAATAATATTAAATGAGTTAAAACTTTCCATATAGGTTTCTGGAATTATGCAGCTTTAGTATGTCACCAGTTCTTTATTCTAGTGTCATTTGTTTCCTGGTGTTGCCACGTTTAAGCCTAGTCCTTTTCAATTGGAAGCAAGTGGTTGCACCATGATATGGGGTGCTTGTTCTATTTGATGCTGGTTTTGCTTGTGGTTTTGGGGAGTCAGTATTTTGTTGAAGGTATGCAGTGTTCTTGTGTTTTAAAAGAGTTCATGTGATTCCGAGGAGTTGCTACTCGCTTTATTGATGGTGGGGAGCTTCATAATTCTATGTTGGTGTTATTTGAATCATAATTATATAGTCTCATTTGTTTTTGGCATGATACAAGTTGAATCTGGTGTAATGTGGCATATCTTATGCCTTATGTTTCAATAAAATTCTTTTGCTTTTTTCAAAAAAAAAACTTGCCATATAGGAGGTCATATTAGTTGGATAATGAAGCATAATTATATAAATTTTTATGAATCCATAAGTTTTAGTCAAATACCGATAGATATCTACCATATAAGAAAATTTAAGTACCTGGAAAACACTTTTCTAACCTCACCCTTCTTGCAACACCTCACCAAAATGAGAGCATTTTGTGTCTTAAAATTACTTTTTCCAACTATTTATGTTATATGGTTCTATTTCAATTACATGGTTGTTTTTTTTCCCTTGCTTGGTGAGTTTTGATCAGATGATGATGTCACATGGTTCCAATTCACTTTCTTTTCCTCTTATCTCTTATTCCAATTACACCTTTAATTCAAAATTTGAAATTTACTTTTTCCGACTCTCTCTCTCTCTCTTCCTTTCCCTGCTTCTCTCTTTTATCTTTCTCACCCTTTTTCTTTTTCTCTTTCTCTGTCATCTTTTCTCTTTATCATCCTTCATCTTCTTTATCTCTATTCTTCTTCTTCCTCAACCTTCTCCCTCTTCTTATTCGTCGTCTTCTTCTTCTTCCGATATCGTCAGTAAAATCATCATCATCATCCTCTTCTCCCTCTGCACTACCAACGAAGTCCTAGCCAAAGAAGACAAAGCGATCGAACTTGAATATGAAGATGTCACTTTGTAACTTATCAAAACTATGGTTATACATCTTCAAGGTTTTAGAAATATGGCTTATCTATCAAGAAGCTTCAGGTTAGTTACTTACAAAAGGAAATAATTTTATATGTTATTTTAGGGTTTTGATTATTTCGTTGCCGTTGACAAATATATGACAGTTTATCCATAAAATTATTAATAAGTTTGATGTCTTCTGCAGGATGCTCTGGATCTGAGAAGCAGTCTTTATACTGTTAGGGTTTTTGTATGTTATTTGATTATATTTTAGGGTTTTTATTCTTTTTCGAACTGCAATTGAATATTTTTGTCATAATAATTCAATGTTTTAATTTCTTGGATGTTAAGGCAAGGATTTATCGCGAAAAAACTCATCTGGCTTAGCCAAAGGTTCTAGGGAAGGTGTTTCCAAGAAGAAGGCATTTGTAGCAGGAAGCAGGGTGATTCGTTTAGAGAAACGTGGATGCCTTAAGGTGAAACTCTCATACCTAAAGTCATGTTTTTGCATCCCTATTTTTTTAGTATCTTGAGTTTATTATGATGGATTCATTTATGAAAAGTTATGTTTTTGTTCTATTCATTTTATGCAGGTTTTGGCAAGTCTGAAACTGATTTCGCATCTTTGCCGCCAAAGAATTTGAATTCTTAGGTAAGCCACTTCGAGCAATCTAAGTTCACAGTGGAATTTGGAAGTTGCATATGCAATCCCTATGGTAATGATAAATTAATGCAGGTTGTTTATGTAGGTACTACCATGTATGTTCTCCACGGATGTCCTTGATTTTGAGTGGTATGCCCATAAATGTCTTGATCATTATTGGATTCTGAACTGTTTGAATAGCCTGTAGGATTGTCGTGGAGATGGCCTATAGCTTGAAACTTCTCATAAACGAGGTAAGCTTATGCGTAGTCCAGACCTTTGAAATTGCTCATTTAAAATAGTGTTGTTATGTTACATACTTATAATGAATCCTTTGAAATGTTTTCAATCTTATTAGATATATGGAGTAGAGCCATCAGTAAGTAATGTGTTCAGTGGTGGTAAACCAGGTAAATATCGTTGTTCGTTTCTTAGTCATTTTTGGCATCTGTGAAGTGATTTATATGAAATTGCTATGTAAAAGACGGTTAAAATTTTGTAGAACAGTGTTATTTATTACTCTCTTCTTATGTCTTGAATATGCAAGAATTGATGAAATGTGATTGATTTGTTAATATTGGTACGTAGATAAAACCATTGAAACTGTTTCAATGTCCACTGTGAACAATGCTAGAAATATATTTGGGCAAGGTTGTCAACTAGGAAAGCCTGAACGACAAAAGCTACTTAACCAAAAGGGATGTATTGTATGGATTACTAGACTCAGCGGACCAGGTTCATATTTTTAGGCTTAGGTTCATATTTCAACATTGGCCCCAAATATGCTTTTATCTTTTTCACGGGAAACTACATCGTATTCCTGTTGGTACTGATGTTTATGCTTATTAATCATGTTTTAGTTGCTACCAAAATTTATCTATTTCCTTCAAGTTGACTTGATCGACATGAAATTATTGTATGGCACGCATGGTAATCTTTTATGTATTTTCAAGTCTATATACCCTGTCATTCTGAATGTGAAAATGAAACAAAAGAACCAAAAATGCTTTGCAACTGTTTCATTTAGAGCATAATATAATTATTTTCTTCATAGTGTCTATCTAAATCACCATTATTTCCAGTTGAAAGCAGTTTGTCTGAAATACATTGCAAGGCCTAAAAATCTTAGAGGTTTGTTTTAGTCAATTTAGCTTCTATTTTGTCACAAACATACATCAAAAAAGAAAAAGAAGTGCAAGGGAATTGTTGTTGAAGGAGCTGTTGTTGAAGGAACTATTGTTGAAGGAACTATACAACAGTTGTTTGAAGGCCACCATACGAACTATATTTATTGCATCAATATGGATTATAAATCAACACGAAAAGAGTCATTTTATGGTAGGTAATTTTTTTTTGCTTTAGGATGCCATTATTTCACACCACTATTCTATTATGAGACCTTTTTGACTATTTGATTATAGATCTTCAACTGGATGTCAAAGGTTGTACCAATGGGTATGCTCCATTCGATAAGTACGTGGAAGTGGAAAAACTTGAGGGTGATAACAAGTATCACACACATCAGTATGGTTTACATGTAAAATCTATAACCAAACATTCTTTGGGTTGTTAGGTTAAACTTTATTACCTACTTTTTTCTTCATATTTTAGAATGGTTTTTTTTTGTTGAAAATCCACTAAAATCTATGATGAATTTCTATCAATTTTGATGAACAAGATTGTTATCACCACACAATGGCAATGGAGAGAAATTTAAAAAAGAAAAGAGATTTAGGATTTCTGCAGAGTTTCTCTCTGCTCACAAATTGTGGAAAACTTTCTTATTCTCTTGCAACTGCAAATTTTGTGAATATTCAATGTGTTATAAAATAGAGATTTATCCCACTATTTATAATGATCTAGCGTGCTCCATAAGCTAAAATGCCCACAATAGAAAAAAACCCAAAATAACAACTTAACCTAATTTAGTTACACTTACTAAAATAGGCCTAGTTGAAATTTTGTAGAGGTTACTCCTTCGACATTTCGACACACTCTAGGGTAGACTAATTCGACACACACTACGTATTCCGACACTTCCTTGTTTTTGTCGAACAAGCTGCTTTGACACAAGGAATTACATTCTCAACATTTTTAATATCATGTTTATGATTACACATTTAGGAAGCAAAGAGTGTATTATTCATTGATTTTTCGCCTGTTCTTCATCTTCAGTTAAAACGGTTCGAGTATGATTTTGTGTGATACACTATGGTTAAGGTTGGTATTAAATTCAAGAATCAGCAAAATCCTTTCACCTTTGTATGTTTCGATTTTTTCTAAGTATTTAAATTTTAGTGCAATTGGAAAGGAAATCTTCGAACCAATTGTGTTTTGGTTCTCCTCCAGAGTGGAATAATGCAGCCTTCAATCAATTCGCATGTTATTCAACACGTGTTTTGCATCGATTCTTTAAAGTTTCAATAGTGAATATCCATTTCAAGATTCTGTTATTTTGACCCTGTAATATTTGTTTCTCACTAAACTTATTTTCCTGTTTTGGGGCTTTTTCCTCCACCTTAATTCTGGAATCAGTGTCCGGTTATTTGTTTAAAATTTCGAGTATCAATTAATAGAAATAATGTAGTTGTTGTCTTGTGTCTGGATTTTTCTTTGGTTGTTGTTGTGGCATTATATGTGAATAAAATGAGTTATACAACATATTATGGATTATGTATCTTAACATAATTTCGTTTTCTATGCCATTTTATTCAAATTTTATATTATGGGTTATATGCAACTCCCTATGCTATTATATATGATGGTCTTTGTTTAGCTACCATTTTTACCTGCTGTGATAGGACAACACATATACATCTCAAAAGTCTTTTATTATTGCATTAATATAATATATACCATAAAGAGCACAAGTATAACGAGTAGGAATGTTCAAATCTAAACCAATTCAAATAAAAAATTGAAAACCGATCTAAAAAATTGAAAATTATAAAAATTGAAATTGATTAGGTGTGTTTGGATGTTATTTTGTGAAAATCAATCGATTCAGATCGAGTTTTAGATTAATTTTTCAAAACCAATATAAACCAAACCAAACCGCATACATATAGTTTTATATTTATTTACTTTTTATTAGTATGATATCTTACGTGAATTTATTATTAGATGATAATAATTTTTTTAAATAATAGTTATTAGCTTGTTATAATTTATTTATTTTTATCATTTCAATCATAATCAACCATTCTCATTTTATAATATTAACTTTTAATATACTATATATTATATATTATATTAAATCTATGATCTATTAATAGTTTTATAATATTAATAAAAATATAATGTGTAATTTGCATATCTAAAAACCGATCTAAATTAAACCGCATAAAATTAGATCGAATCGGATTAGATTTTTTTAATACATCATCTAAAATCGAACCGAATCACAAATAAATTTATTTTTGGATCGAATAATTTTTTGTCTTAAAACCGATATAGACCGAACCGCGAACACCCATAATCAAGAACACTCCCATCCAATTACAATAGAGTCTTAATTAAGACAATTCAAAGGCATATTGTACCAATCAAAGAAACTACACAAAACTCTAACTTTGACATCAATAATCAACCATAACCAAGACAACAATTTGACATTAAAGACAAATATCATCCATTACAAAATCTTCATTGTTGAATATCTTCGCACATTTCTAGCCATCCAAATAATGTTCTCTTTACCTAGCAGCTTCTCCTTTTAGAGTGGTCAAAATATTCCAATAATGTTCCACCGCATTTAAGCCTTCCACTGAATCCAAGTCCAACCACCTGTAAATATTATTCCAGACCAAAACTACATAGGGACATAAAAAAATAACATGAAAAACATTTTCCTCATGGAGCATACATAGTGGACACCAATTCTCCTCTGCGTTCGAGATTATTGATTTCTTTATCAGCTGGGCTCTGGTTGGTAACCGATCTAACAACAATCTCCCTGCAAAAATTTTGATCTTTGATGGTACCTTCATCTCCCACATTGAGTTTAGAACCTGCAAAACATTTTTTAAGTTATTTTTTTTTTTTTGCAAGAGTCTAATGTGAAAGTTGTTAATATTTTAATCCTAGATATAATAAACATTCAAGAGTGTTCACTAAATTAGATTAGAGGGAGAGGAAATGGAGATGAGATACAAAGAAGATATAGACATATGCAGTGACATAACACCACCACTCATCCCACTCTCTTTCTCTCTCCACAACACTAATCTCCACACTCACTGCTCCTCTTGTTTCTCTCTCATCACAACTCCCATTCCCATTCCCAATGCCAATTCCATTCCTCCATTCTACTGCTCTCCTCACTGCACCACCGCCCATTCCTCCATCCCCCTCTCCTCCGCCGAACACCATCTACCTCCCTCCGCCACCTCCTCCCTTCTCCGCACCGCCCTCCGCCTCCTCCTCGTCTCCCACCACCGCACTTCCCCCTCCACTCGCCTCAACCATTTACTCACCAACCGTCATTTGCTGACGTGTCACTACGACGAACTCTCCCAAACCATCCCTATCAACGCTCTTGCAATGGCCACCGCAATAGCAAAGCAAAGAAGCCGCGGCGATTTGATAGAACCCTCCCACGACGCCGTTTTGGAGGAAGCTACTCTTGCTCTCTGCGCGGTGCTAACGAACGCGGTTGAGGTGCACGATGACCAAGGACGCGCGTTAGGGATTGCGGTTTTTCAACACGCTTTCTCTTGGATTAACCATAGTTGTTCTCCCAATGCATGCTACCGCTTCTCTTTCGAGTCTTCTTCTTCTTTGCTTTCTCAGGAATCAAAACTTTGCATTGCTCCCTTCACTCATAACTCTCAACAACCAAAAGTATATTTCCTTTTTTCATTTCTTCTTTTATGCCGTTTTTTGCTTCTGTTATTTGATCAGAGAGTGTGTGAATTGTGCTTTGCAGATAGATTGTAGGATTTTTGGTACCAGTGGTGAATTTGCCCAAGGTTTGTGTTTCTTTCTTAGATTTATGTTTTGTTAATGAATTGCTATGAACTTTGTTATAGTAAACTTTCAAATCGGTTCCTAAACTATTTAACTATCACTATGTCCTATTTGCTTACTGAATTATAGAAATGTAATATATAGTTCTTAAACTATTCTCTATCTATCAAGCTAGTCTCAAATTATAACTATGGTTTTAAATTGCTATTGTGGATGCGGTTGCGGGTGTTGCAATTGTGGTCATTGCGGTTGTTACGATGCACATTGCGGCCGTTACGACATGAATAAGAGTTTGAAATACACATTTAAATAAATCTAAAGGTTAAGATTTTTCAGAAGTAAATTGAGTTTTGGTGTTCTAAATTTTGAGTTTTGATGAAAATACTTACAGAAACTTGGACGAAGTTGTTTGATGAGCTTTCTAAGGTGGGAGTACGTGTGATTTCAAATCATACTGAAATTGCAGTTTGATGCGGTTGCAGAGACTGTTGCATTAACAATATTGCAGCTGCAATTGCAGTTTTATGCGGTTGCAGAGACTCTGCATCAACAATATTGCGGCTGCAATTGCAGTTGTGCACCACAATTTAAAACTATGATAATAACTCTTTTCTATTTTGAAAGTCGTGGGAGGATTAACTTGATGTGTTGACAATAATTTAGAGATTATTTATTATATTTCTATAGTTTAGGGACTGAGTAGGAGAGAGTGATAATTTAGGGACTACTTTAAAAGTTTACTTTACTTTGTTCTATATGCTATGATGCTTAGTTTTTTGGTACTGTGAAAATTAATTAATGGGGTGATTTTTTTGCATGAAGAAAAAGGGAAGATTATTTGTGGTCCAAGATTGATTTTAAGAAGTATCAAGAGAATTAAAAAGGGGGAAGAGGTTACTGTAGCATATACTGACCTCTTGCAGCCGAAGGTATGCGTCAAATTAATGTTATTAGTATTAGTTTTATTATCTTTTATTTACCTTGGAAGGAATATATCTTCAAAAGAAATATTTGCCTCTGAATATAAATTCTGTTCATCCACTTGATTTGTAGCATATATTATATATATCATTTGAGTTTTTCCCCCATATATGCTTTTGATAGAAATAGATTACTTGGGGATGTGTTAGTGGGATCAAGTAATGAGATGCCTACTTTTTGGAGGGAGTACGAGTTTAATAAAAAAGGAATGAAAGAAAGAAAGGAATTAAGGGTGCTACCTGTCTGGAAGCAGCGTTATCGAATATCGTTCATGGTGGATATAGTGATGGTTAGGCTCACTGCAACGGTAAATATCAGCAGATATTGCAGATTTTTCCGTCATAACCCGTTATGATGGCGCGACAAAACGGCCAGTATGGCGGGAGTTTGGCTCTCCGCCATGGACTGCCGGAAGTTAGTTAGTAGTGGGAGGAATATGTGAGGGGTAGCAATATGGACTGATTAGTCTTTATGTTAGAACACTGAGTATGAGGCAGAGAGAGAGAATATCTTAGAGAGAGAATATCTTTCCTCCGAGGAGTTAGTGGTCTGGTTTATCTACTGTAGTAATTTCACAATGTTAGCTGAGATGAATTGTGTGTTCCTCTAAAATGGTCAAGCTGCCTTCATTTTTCGGAGACTTCCTAGTGGCGTGGATTATGCGTGCTGAGATATATTTTGAGGTGCAACGTATCTCACAGGAGAAGCACATTCAACTAGTGAAACTATGCATCTAGGGGCAAGCCATCCATTGGTTTAATCTGTGCCACCCGATACGACGGAAGAAGTAACATGTGAAAGTTTCAAGGAAGTGTTCATTGTCTGTTTTGGTGGTGGTCGTTCAGACAATCCTTTTGAGCATCTTGGAGGTTTGAAGCAAACAGGTTCGGTGGAGAAGTATATACTTTTAGGTTTTATCTTCTCGGTGTGGTCATTTATCTGAGATACAATGCTGTGTTATTTCATCAGCAATCATCACAGTGATTTTTGTAGTCGTGTGCATATCTTTAATCCAAGGTCATGTTATCAGGTAATGCAAATTGCGCACAACGTAGAAGCTGATTTGCGGCTTAAACATAATTGAGTCATATACAATGGCTGCGAACCCGACCTGGTCAACTTTGTCCCAGTTCTTATATACTGGTTGGACTCAGCGTGTAGGGAATTCTGTCGGGTCTGTAGTGCTGTGTCGTTGCAGAAGATATTCAATATGTTGGGTGTTGGTTCTGGGTTGTTAATGTAGTATATAGCAGGGAAGCGGGGATGCCTCAAGCCCAACAATCTGAATTAACTCATCTGGTGTAGTTTGATGGTTTCTTTATGAGATCAATGGGTAGCCTCCTGTCTGCAATACAATCCATTCTATCTAGTTACAACCAGGGGCTGCTCCTTTGAGTGTGCGGCCCTATAGAAATCCACATTATTAAAAGGATGAAATTGAAAGGTAGATTAAAGTCATGCTCCAGCAGGGTGTTATTCTTAAGAGTTGTAGTTCTTTTTCTAGCTGTGATATTTGTAAAGATAAACGATAATTCATGGCGGATGAAATTGAAAGGTAGATTAAAGTCATGCTCCAGCAGGGTGTTATTCTTAAGAGTTGTAGTTCTTTTTCTAGCTGTGATATTTGTAAAGATAAACGATAATTCACGGCGGATGTGTACGGATTATAGGCACTTAATAGGGTGACAGTGCTAGACAAAAATCCAATTCTGTGTGTGATGAGTTGATGTTTGAGCTTTTGAATCTGTATACTTTTCTAAGTTATACCTCAAGTCGTGGTATCATCAAATTCACATGAAAGTGGAGGTTATACACAGCTTCACATTCATAAGGGTCGCTATTGATACCCTATTATGTCTTTCGGATCGATGAATGTGTCTGCTACAGTTATGAATGATATCTTCAAGCCCTTTTGCGAAGGCCTGTCTTGGTCTTCAATATTATTTTAGTTTATAGTTGTGATTGGCACACACTGTTACCACACATGGCTGCTGTGTTACAAGCGCTGCAACAACATCAATTTGTGCTTAATCGTGCGTGTGTTTCTGGCCCCGCCAAATTGAGTATTTGGGTCATGTGGAATCTCACCAAGGACTAGGAGTGACAGTAGGTCAATCTAAGGTGAGTAGTGTGGTGCGTTGGCCCACACTACAAATGTTAACGGAGTATGTGGATTACTATCGGGAATTTATTACGAACTATGGTAAGATAGCTAAATCACTTACTATGGATGATGCGTTAGCGTTAGGTAACCCACTTCGACCTGACCCGATCCAATGTGAAGGCGACCCTTTTCAGATTAAAATTAGCCGTTTTCAACATTTAAAGCCATAAATCGTTCCTTTCTCCATGATTTTTTAAGGGAGCATGAGGATTAATTAAAATTTCAATTTGGAAAATATCAACATATTCAATGATTCAATCTACCATTTATTCTATTATTCAATTCCTTCTATAAATGGTCATCATTGTTTCTTAATCTTTCATCAATCATCAGTGTTATACAATTTCTTCTCTTCTTTATCATATCTTTTACAAAGTTCTTCATTCTATTCTACCACACCTTTTTTCAATGTCTTCATCAATTTGAGTTCGTGCATCCTCATCTGCCCCACCAAAATTTCAAAAAAATGCTTCTGAAAGTTGATGAAGGAACACAAAATCAAATGCAATTATTATTCAAAGAAAGAGATTGGAGGAGTGTACAGACTGAAACATTATTTGGCTGGTACACAAATAAATGTTGGTGCATGTAAGTATGTATCTGATGAAGTAAGAGTCCAAATGTGGGAGATTTTAAAATCTCTACAAAACAATTTACTAGGAAAGATGCCCGTAAATGATGATGGTAATGTTATGCCTGCAAAACTTTCAAAAAGAAGGGAGTTAGTACTCAATCCACCATTAACTCAATTTTCAAAAAGAATTTGAGAGAAGTCTTGAAATTGTTTCATTCTTCTACAACAATGTCATAGCTTTTAATGTGACAAAAAGTGAAGAATTTCAAAAAATATTAGAGCTAATTTCAAGACATGGTCTTGGATTCAAGCCACCTTCATGTAATGAAATTAAAAAGAGTACTTGAAACTTAAAATGGAGGAGACAAAGAAAGTCATTTAAGAACACAATCTTATTTGAAAGAAGATAGGACTCACTATTATGAGTGATGAATTTCTTAGTGAACAACCCTAAAGGTACTGTCTTTTTGAAGTCCATTGATGCTTCACAAATTAAAAAAAAAAAAAAAAAATGTATTGTCACTGACAATGCTCCAAACTACAAAGCAGCAGGTACAATGCTAATGAAAAAGTAATACCGTGTGCAACACATTGCATTGATCTCATGTTAGGATTTTGAGAAAATATAACAAAAATCACTCAATACATTTATTCAAAGCCTTCCCTTATTTCTTTATTACAAATTCACAAAAGTTCAAAAAAATGTTCCCTGTTCCCCATCTTATGAGTGGACAATAACCAAATTTGTAAAAACAAGGAAAAAAAGTTGAAGAAGTGGTTATGGAAGTTTTGGAAAAATATTGTTATTTGTTGTAATGTTACTTATCCACTAATCAAAGTCATGATAATCGGGAGCTTACTAAAGATCGTTGGGGTATAAAAAAAGTGTGAATTGTAAGAACGTAAATCAGATTATAAGATCTCACCAAATAAAAAAATTATACAAATAACTAAAAAAAACATTAACATAATTTCATAAACTTCAATTTAAAAAATCATTCAACGCATCTTGAACAAGTCCAACATCCAAATCATCTTCATCTTCTCCATCATCTTCAAGGTTGATTGCCAATTCCATTCTCACCATCATTTTGATGTCCAACTTCCAAATTTCCACTTTCAGTTGTGAAATCCAAAATATCATCATCCAATGAATCTTGTTCATTGTACACGATCCATTCATCATCTGATTCAATATCATCAATGTTATATTCTATCACTTTTTTTATTTTCTTCTTTGCCAACATTGAATTTGTCATTACAAATACAACATAGTTCATTGTTTTTTTGCTTCAAGCAGTTTCTTCTCTTTATATGGACCATTACAAAGGCATTCTAATTTCTTTCACATCCCAATGAGCTACAAGTTAAGCTAAGGGTAAGAATTGCAAATTTTTATAGCTCATGATGCTTCTCCCCATATGATTCCCACCACTGTGCCAGAGTTTTATTTTTAAGCGCCGCCAATGCTATTGAGCTACCAAAAAACTTTGTCTTTCTCTTGAAATCTTTCAATTGAGCATCAATCTTACTCAATTCTTCTACATTTCCAATCATCCTTTCCATGCAATCATATAACCCTTGTTTCACTTCAGAGTCAACTTTAAAATTAGAACTATATTGCAATTTTGGGTTGAGATAGTAACCCGTAACATGCAAAATCCCTGTGCAATTTCTTATCCCATCTTTCATCAATTATATCACATAGAGGCTTGTAACTAAATAATAACAAAAAAAGCATTATCCCATTTTTCATCAATTATATCCCGTAGAGGCTTGTAACTAAATAATAATAAAAAAAGCAGTGAGCACAAAGTTGAATAAAAAAATAGGGACCAAATTTGAATATAATGAGATTTTTAGTTATTACCTTTTTTTGAATACCATTGAAGTTAGCTTGAATTTTCTTTTTAGTTTGGTCCATTGCCTCATAAATTATTCTCATTGCATTGCAGACATTTCATCAGAATCCACTAAACGAAGTACTTTGATTAGTGGATAAGCACTATTACAACACCATTACAACAAATAACAATATTTCTCCAAAACTCTTTATCCATAACCACTTCTTCAACTTGCTTTCCGCTTGTTTTTGCAAACTTGGTTATTGTCCACTCATAAGATGTGAACATTCTTATCAATCCTTTTTTATTCTCCACGAGACACCCCAAAATTAAATAAGATGTCGCAAATCGAGTAATTGTGGGTCTCACCAAATCTTTTCCTTTTGTATGAATTTGTAATAAAGAAATAAGGGAAGACTTTAAATAAATGAATTGAGTGATTTTCTTACCTTTTGAAATTGTTTCACTGTGAACTGTTATATTTTCTCAAAATCGTCTTACATGAGATCAATGCAATGTGTTGCATACTGTCCAATAGAGCTTCTTTCGCTTTTCCATTAGGATTGTACCTACTGCTTTGTAGTTTGCAGTATTGTCAGTGACAATTTGCACAATATCTTTTTCTCCCACTTCTTCCACAATGTCATCAATCATCTTAAAAATTGCATCAACAGTTTTTTTAATATGTGAAGCATCAATGGACTTTAAAAAGACTGTACCTTTAGGGTTGTTCACTTCAAAATTGTTCTCCTTCTTTTGTCAGTGCACTCATCACTCATAATAGTGCATCTTGTCTTCTCCCAAATAAGATTGTGTTCTTCAATGACTTTCTTCGTCTCCCATTTTAAGCTTCAAATACTTTGTTCTAATTTCATGATATGAAGGTGGCTCCATTTTAAGCTTCAAGTACTTTGTTCTAATTTCATGATATGAAGGTGACTTGAATCCAAGACCATGTCTTGAAACTATCTTTAATATTTTTTGAAATTCTTCACTTTTTGCCACATTAAAAGCTATGGCATTGTTGTAGAAGAATGAAGCAATTCCAAGACATGTTTCTTCAAATTCTTTTTGAAGACAAAGTTGATGGTGGATTGAGTACTCACTCCTTTGTGTTGGATCGGGTAGGGTTGAGGCAGGTTGAACGAATTCTCAACTGCGAAATAAATCTCCGCTTCCATGATTTCACGATCTACCATTGCGCTCCAACCACACCGCCATCTCTTGCTCTCTTTGCTGCGCGCCGCCGCGGAAACACGCTGAAAACTTGTAAATCTCACGATCAAAATCTAGATCTTGACAACCATGATCAAAGTACTTCGTTTAATGGATTATGATGAAATGCCTGCACTGGGATTAATTTATGAGGCAATGGACCAAGCTAAAGAGAAAATTCAAACTAATTTCAATGGTGTTCAAAAAAGGTCATAACTAAATCCTGTTTTTTAATTCAACTTTGCTCATTATTTTTTTTAAAATTATTTAGTTACAAGCCTCTACGTGATATAATTGATGAAAGGTGGGATAAGCAATTGCACATGCCTTTACATGCTGCGGGTTACTATCTCAACCCGAAAATTGCACTATAGCTCTAATTTTAAAGCTGACTATGAAGTGAAACGAGGGTTATATAATTGCATGGAAAGGATGATTGAAGTTGTAGAAGAAATAAGTAAGATTGATGCCCAATTGGAAGATTTCAAGAGAAAGACAAAGCTTTTTGGTAGTCCAATAGCATTGACGGAGCTTAAAAATAAAACTCCGGCACAGTGGTGGGAAACATATGAGGACGAGCATCCCGAGCTATAAAAGTTTGCAATTCGTGTCCTTAGCTTAAATTGTAGCTCATCAACTTGTAGCTCATCGGGATGTGAAAGAAATTGGAGTGTCTTTGAGATGGTCCATACAAAGAGTAGAAACCGCTTGAAGCAAAATACAATGAACGATGTTGTGTTTGTAATGACAAATTCAAAGTTGGCAAAGAAGAAGAAAACAAGAAAGGTGATAGAATATAACATTGCTGACATTGAATCGGACGTGGTTTATTATTAATTAAAAAAAATTATATTAATGTTATTTTTTTAATTATTTGTATAATATTTTATTTGGTGGAATCTTACTATCCGATTTACGATTTTACGATTCACGCTTTTTTCATACCCCAACAATCTTTAGTGAGATCCTGATTTTGACAATCATGATTGTCAAAAGTTAGAATAAATTGAACTCTTCCCTCGCAGAAGTTTTTCTGTTTCAGAATTTTTTCTTTCTTTTTCTTAGCTCTTCATTAAGTTCCTTCACTTGTTTATTATTTGATCATTAAGTTTCTAGTACTAATTTGTAATAGGTTTTTCCAGGAATTGAGACAATCAGAACTATGGTCAAAGTATAGGTTTATTTGTTGCTGCAAGCGATGTAGTTCTTTGCCCTTCACATATGTGGATCAGTCATTGCAAGTAAGACTTCTTAATTGTGCTGTTAGATTAGCTCTTTGTAACAGTATCAATTTTCTGATAAACATTCGTGACTGACTAGGAACTGAAACAAGTACTGTATAAATTCAGGAAATATCTGTTTCATGCCGAGATTTATCTGGTCTGCGTTCCGATTACAAGCTCTTCAGAGACATGGCTGATAGAAGATTGACTGATTCCATTGAAGATGTTATATCAGAGTACCTTTCAGTCGGTGATTCCGCGTCTTGTTGTGAGAAGCTTGAGAAGATTCTTATTCAAGGTCTGGACGAGCAACTAGAAATAAATGAAGGAAAATCACATTCTAAATTCACACTGCATCCCCTTCATCACCTCTCTCTAAATTCCTATACAACACTAACTTCAGCATATAAAGTCCGCGCTAGTGATTTATTATCCGACGATTCCAAAACAGATCTTAACCAAACAGAAGCTTTTGATATGAGCAGAACTAGTTCAGCGTATTCTTTGTTATTGGCTGGTGCAGCTCATCATCTCTTCGCTTTTGAATCATCGCTTATTGCATCAGTTGCTAACTTTTGGATAGGAGCTGGTGAATCGTTGTTAACTCTTACCACAAATTCCGGATGGAGTAGGTTTGTTAATTCTGACACAAAATTTGAATGCTCTAAGTGTTCACTAGTGAATAGATTTAGAGCCTGTATATTAAATGGTCAAATCAAAAGTGAAGATTTTGAGATTGTAACAAATGAGTTTATTCATTGTGTCTCGGATATAACTCATGAAATTTGGGGTTTCCTTGTATATGGTTGCAATTTTCTGAAATCGTGTAAAGACCCTGTTAATTTCAGCTGGCTAATGTCTACCAAAAATTCAGAGGATGTTGCGGCTCATGATATCGAAAATGACAAGTGTTACACACATGAATCTGGGAATAGTATCGGTGTTCGTGATGAACAAGCATACAATGATCATACACTAGCATACATTTTTCAGCTTGGTGGACACTGCTTAACATATGGAGGATTATTGGCTTGTATATGTTATGGTCCCAATTTCCATTTGGTTTCTCATGTACAAAATATTCTAGATCATGAAAATGATTCATTATTTTCACATAATGTTTGAGACATGTATTTCAACTTTTGAAAAATTAAATTATTTGATCCTTTTAGGGTAGCAGATGATAGCTTTGTTGCCAAGATGAAGTCAATATGGATTTTTGTTTAAAAATTTGTTTTGTTAAATACTTCGAATTAGTGTTGAAACTCAAAGGTCATTTACATCATTATATTGACCACAAGTGGAAGGCATGGTCATAACCATTGCATCATCAAATTAAATTAGTGATTCAATTCAAATGTTTAACGACCGGTTTGTTTTAACTTTTTGAAAGAATGTATTTTTTTCTTTTGTATTTTTAAAAATGATTTTATAAAACTGTTTTTTAAAATATTATTTTTTTATATTCATTTTTTCTAAATTAAAAGATTAATTTTGACATCTATGACATAAATATATATTATTAAAAATCAAAATATAGTCGAAATTTTAATTTTTTTTTAAAAGTTGTATTTCAAAAATAATTTTTATAAAAAATTATTTGGAATAATTTTAAAATTAAGTAATTTTTTAAAATTTTGATATTTAAAAAAAGTTTCAATAAAATATCTAAAATAATATTTTAATAATAATAATTAAATCAAATTTTTATTTGAAGCTTTTATAAAAAAAAATAACTTTTTTTTACACAATTATATATTATAAAAATTATTTTTAAAAAAAAAAAATTAAAACAAATGAGTGCTAAATAACTTTAATTATGTAGGAATTGTTAGTTAGGGTTGGATACCGGTCAGTTTGAGTTGGACTTGGACTCAAAATATTAAACTGTTTGAAACCCAGAATGTAATTATTAGGCTCAATTCTAACTAAAATTGTTACCGATTTATCGATTAAAATAAATCAGTTTATATGATTAATTGATATTTAATTGTCATATAAAAATTCAGTTACATTGTAAAATTTTTAATTAAAGTAATATTAAATAATAACTTTAAAGCAATAATAAATATAATAAATCACCCAATTTAACACTACTTTGCATCTAATAAATAAATTTGGCCCTTCAAATATTATCCAAATCAACTTTGATTAAACTGTAAATCACAACACGACCTATCAAATATTCAAGTATTCATGGTAATATCTAACAGTATCTAATTGTATTTACGGTAACAAGTAGATCACAACACAACCTATCAATATATTACGGTCATCCAAATCTAAAACTCCTAACATGATCCAAACTCCTTGATTGTACGCATGGCTCCTTCTCGATCCAAACTCCTAATGATGAACTATTAGAAATTTGCTAGACATATTACACTCTTGGAAGTTAGATAATCAAGATATTATTAACATGTCAAAGTATGTCGTAAACCATTGAATACAGAATGAGTTGTTTAAAGTTACTTAAAACCTAACCATTAGAAACAAAGAATGTCTCATTTTATATACTTATGAGAGACATGCATTTTCCAAGCAGCCGACAACCAGAACCATAACGACTAAAGTATAATTTCTGCATAAGAAAGTAAGAGCTATGATAAGAAGGCAAATTGTAGCAGAAAACAGTTCAAGAAAAACAAAAGCACTTTTGAAATTATGAAATTAACCAAAGGAATACATCATTAACAAAATGCTACATTGTTAAAAAAAAAATACAATCTCAACACCCCACTCAACATTAGTAGCTTAAAAAAATCCATTTCACTTCCACATTCTAGCAACAAAAACTAGCTCAGAAATTCAAGGCTTACAAAGTAAAGTATAACAAAACACAAACCCACAGATCTATCATTCTATTAAAAAATAGACACATAAAAATTCTCTATTAATTTGAAGTATATAAATTATAGCAACATGAATACTTTTCATGATAGTTACAATATAAATTGTTGCCTAATAACATTTACATGCTCGTATCTGGAGAGGGACAAATATAATACTAACCAACCCATTCATAAATAAAACAAAGTTAAGAACATTCCTAATGCAAGTTGGAGACAGTATATGAAATTCTTTTTTCCACTTTAATCCTATGTGCTTCATAGAAGCAACAACAAAATGAAGGAAAAATAATATGCAGATAGAAAGAACCTGTTCCTCTTCGAACAACAAGAGCGTGTATTAGACATGATTATCAAATGTAACATCAACTATTATTAACCTATAAAACTAATTGTAAAAAATATATATCAATTTAGACAACTTGAGATCGCGGAGAGAAAAACATAAAATCCTACCATAAAAGAGAGAAGAGAGAGAATGAGAAAGAGAAAGACGAAGAATTTACATGATCGATGGTGGTTCGTAGTGGCTAGGTGGAATGGTGGTGCTCGCGGATGAATAAACAACGGCGACACTTGAAGAAGAAGCAACTTGATCGAAACCCTAGCCGGGAGAGAGATTGTTGTGAAAGTGATACGAAATGAATAAAGTGAGAGTATGAAGCCATGAGTCAGTAACTCTCTCTGATGTCATTACTACGAAAAATACATACAGTAACGGTTGTAAAACACAAATAATAACGGTAGCACGTCCGTTGTTAGGTAGCGTGTGATTGTATATACGCTGGTTACCACAACGCGCATGCGACCGTTGTTATAAATTAGATAGCGCGCTACATACAACTACATTTGTATTAAACAACTGTTATTGTATGTCTTTTAATAAAATAAAATAAAAGATGCAGTAGAACAACAACAACAGCAAGAACAGCAAAAACAACAACGAGAAAACCACCACCACCAACAAAAACAACAGCAAGAACAACAAAAACAACAACGAGAAAACCACCACCACCAACAAAAACAACAGAAACAAGAAGAAGAAGAAGATGAAGAAGAAGAAGAACCACAATAACAAAAACAAGAACAACAACAAAACAACAATAAAACAACAATAATAACATCAAGAACAACAACAATAACAAAAAGAACAACAAGGACAACAAAAACTAATATTTTTAACTTGAATCCATACTTTCCTTATCTCATTCAAGTTGGAGAAGAGATGATGGAGTTTTGAAATTTGTTAATGAAAGAAATGATATTTTCGAGTTTTGTTTATAGTAGAAATGCTATTTTCGAGCTTGGTTTAGTGGAGAAATAGAGTGTCGTAAATGAAAGATGATGTTTGGAGGTAGAAGGTGAAGTTCTTTTAAGTTGGAAGTTCGTCTAAGTTTAAGGTTTCACACAAATCACTAATGGTAGCGTCTTGAGTGTTGATAATCACTAAATAGACGGTCAAGATTTGTTTAAGGATGGTGAATAAACTCAATAAACACAAATATATTTCCCCATGACCCTGAGTGACTTTTCACCACGGTTAGAAGTTTCAACCGTAGTGAAAAGTGACTTAAAAATATATAAAAAAACAAAATTGTAGGTGCTAGGATTCGAACCCATGATCTTGGGTGACTTTTCACCATGATTTGAACTTTCAATCGTAGTAATAAAGTGGATAGCGCGCTACGTACAACAACGATTGTATTAAACAACCGTTGTTGTATGTCTTATAATAAAATATAAAAATGCAACAATAGAACAACAACAACGAGATTCGAACTCATGACCATGCACCACTTTTTACCACGACTGTAACGTTCAACCGTGGTGAAAAGTGGCTTAAAATTGAAAATGAAAAAAAAAACCCGCCCAAAAATGAGATATTACCACGGTTAACAAAGGGACAATTGTAATATTATTTTACGAAAGATATTTTCCATAGTAGTGTGTGTTGGATTATTTTGGGTTGACAGATACAATGTAATTAGGTCAGGTAAAATAAATTGGGAATTTCTTTTCCCACCCTTATGAAGTGGAATGCACCTATGAAAACCCCAAGACACATTTGGGTTTATTAGGAGATACATCTCTGAATGCACTAAATACCATTTTATCTAAATTTTATTCAGAGATCTATCTGTGAAGTTTTTAAAGGTTAATTCGCAGATACATATCCGAAGTCACCTTTCTTCTTTAGTAAATCAAACAAAAATAGTTTGGAGATGTATCTGCGAACTATTTGTGGAGTAAATTCAAAGATACATCTCCAAAGTCTTGCCTGCATGTTTCTTGTGCAGAAACAGTATATTGCGATTGTAGTTTTTTCAATCCGAAGTAATTTTAATTCGATTAACATTACCATTTTTTGTTTCAAATATTAATAAACACGGATATCATAGAACCGAGCAATGCGTTAATTAATCAGAAAGACAATTATGGTACAAAAGTTGTTCTCTAAGTATGGAAAAATATACCAAAACATCCCAAAATACAATCAAATTAATAATCTACTGAGTATGCCTAATCCTAACACCCTGACTCCTCATATTCCTACGGTAACCCAAGGAATTTAGTGTCTCGATAAGAATGGAACGTGCTAAGGAAACTGTTTCATCGCCACGTCTCTCAAACAACCCAGACTTGATGCCCTCTCCCGTCATCCACATAATGTTCTAACAAATCAGAAACACATCAACGACATGATCATCTCTGACCTGCTCATTCTCTAGGATCTCCTCATGAGCAGGCCTAGGTGGACATCCAAGAGCATCTGATATCATGTAAGGGTGTGATATATAATAGAACTAAGTCATGTAACCCTTAGCATAATGCCACTTAGATGTGGCTTCCTGACTCCGATACTCCTACGATACCAGACGACTCTCAAAATACGCCAGAATATCATCCAATTGTCTATGCATAATGCTCTTAGGAGCAGTCTAGAAGGGGGATCTCAGAATGATCTGCACGTACCCAAACTGTCACATGCACCACTCTAGAAGATACATACTCATGGTATTAGTCTCACATGACAACCATCCAAAGTATAATGAAATATGGTCGAATGGAATTCTTTCCTGGTGAGTAGTGTATGGTATCTAGACGATGTCATAATGTTGAGTCCGACCAATATACATATAGAACAACACCATAACATCATTTTCTCTGTGCGAGAGATACACGCAAGTACTGGGGTAATCCTTAGTATACTATGGGTCATATCGAAACCCGTGTATGCGGTGATAGTGGGCAAGGATCCACCCCTGAAAATGAATA